TTTCGTATTAACTAAATATGCATCATAAATTACCTAAATATTCATAATAAATTAACTAAATATGCATCATAAATCACCTATATAAAATGTACATTTTATACAATTAAATTTAATATAATAATTAATGATTTTTATTATATAACGAATTTTAATTTTAAATTGATTAATAACACAAATAAATTGTTATGATTGGATCTCAAATAAAATAGGTATGCACTGTTCATGAACTAAATATGCATTTCGTAAGAACTAAATATGTATCATGAATTAAGTAAATATGCATAATAAATTAATTATATAAATATTATTATATATATAATTTAAATATAACAAGTATGCATTTCGTATTAACTAAATATGCATCATAAATTACCTAAATATTCATAATAAATTAACTAAATATGCATCATAAATTACCTATATAAAATGTACATTTTTATTGCATATTTTTCGCTGCATATTTAGTTCATTCATGATGCATATTTAGTTCATAACAGATGCATATTTAGTTCATAACAGGTGCATACTTAGTTGATATTATTAGTGCATATTTAGTTCATAAGGACTGCATGTGTAATTCATATCCCATGCATATTTAGTTTATATTGAATGCATGGTACTGGATGCATATTTACTTCATACATATGATGCATATTAGGGGTCAACGGGTCAACGCCGGAAGTCAACGGTCAACGTCGAAAGTCAACGATTTTTTCGCCGGAAGTCAACGGTCAACGCCGGAAGTCAACTAATAATTATTTTATTATTTAATTAATATATATTTTAAGAAGTTAACTCATTTTAAGGAGTGTACTCATTTTAAGGAGTGTACTCATTGGATCCTCCCCCTATATATATATATGGGCAATGCTACATGTACAATTATAATTTACAACATTATTTGACAACATAGTTAAAAATATCATTAACTCAAATCTTAAACACGCATTTGTTTGCATCTCATAATTAGTCATTATCCGCTATGAAATTACCATGTTCACGGGAATTTGGCATGGTAACAGCCATGGAGATTATGAATTAGGATAAATATGACAATGCCAAAGTCTTCAGTAAATCTATTCATCTTAAGCAGGTTTATCTCAGTAACAAATTGCCACAGAATTACACACCAAAACTGAATAAGTCATCAATCAAAAGAAAGAAAGAGAAGATTAAAGAAGCCTAAGATCTAGGCTTTTCCTTCTTCTCCTTGAAGAGGGCCAAAAGTGAAACCCCAGATACCTTCACCACTTTAAACCGAACACCGGGAATATCTCCCACGGCATGTCCCTTACGTCCAAATCCAGCAATCAACACCTCATCCTGCAAAAAAAACAAGATTTCATACGTGCTCAGTAATCACAACAAAATTGCACGTATATCACATCCATAAACAAGAAAAACATAAAAGGTATCGAACAAGTTAAAAAAACTCACATTTTCTTCAATGTAGTTCAAACAACCGTCATTAGGGACAAAAGCAGCAATCTTCTTTCCGTTCTTGATCAGCTGCACACGAGCACACTTACGAATGGCAGAGTTGGGCTGTTTGGCCTCAATGCCTCTGTGAATGTTATATACCACAATCATTAGACCCTAAATAAGAACAGAAAAAGAAAAGACGAATCCAACAGGCTAGAAAAAAAAATCAAGAATCACATTTTCTCGAGTACAATTCCTTTGGCGTGAGATGACCCAGCAAATGGCTTCTTCCACTCATTCCCAAGGTGAGATTTCTTGTAAGCCTTGTCGGCCCACCTTTGCCGAATGCGGTGGGACTTGAGCTTGCGCCCAGCTCCCATACCACGTGTCTTCCTGTAAGACGATTAACAAGACCACGAATAACTTCAAATACTGATAGAAACGTAAAGCTTTTCTTTTTAATAAGACGAAAAAAAAAAACACCACAATCCGTACACCAAAACTTCTGTAAAATGAAATCTACAAATTAGTAGATGGATTAACTGATAACCCAGCTTCCAAGAACTATTTTCTGTCGAAAAATGTTTCATTTACCATAAGATGCCAAGTTTTGCGGGCAACAAAAAGCTTAAACGAGCATAACAACCACTATTCAATGGAGGTGGATGGCCCAATCAACAATTAAGCTTCTTGTGCCAAAATCACGAAGACAGCATTTCAGATAAGACATCTCAACTCAGTACACAGAGAAGGCAAAACAATTAAGCTTCAAAAGATTGAAAGTCCAGTAGGCTCAAGGTTCAACAACTCCAGTCGTCCAGAATGCGAGAACAGTTACTAAAAATCAAAATAAAAAACATCGACAGCACAAAACTTTCTTCAACATGCCCGGTGAGAAAAAAAAAAAATTGAGCTGAAAACACAATAATAAACACGCACAAAAGCGTGAAATAAGGAGATTTTGTCGTGCTCATACCCCATGATTGCAGACCACAAAGAACGCCGGAAACGAGGTTAGGGTCTCAGATGTCTGGTCGGAGGTGGCTCAGCCGCCGATTTCAAGCGTGAAACCCTAATGCAGCTCAAGGCAGTTGGTGTGTGTGTTTGTGTGTGTGAGTGGCAATTTATTATGCCTTTCAAATATTGGGCTTTCTGTGAGTATTGGGCTGGACATATTCATTTGCTATGCCTGAGCTATGGGACATGTTGCGATTATGATTCGAAGATGCATATAAATATTAATTAATTTATTATTCTTATTTAATTTGGGTGTGATATTCATACAGGATACAACATAAGAGGTACAAGGCAACAACAACAGGCTCGGCTAGGGCTCTCAGATGTCCTGGTAGAAACTCGATCTGTAAGTATGGTTGATCGTATGATCGACCAGAAAAGATAACACTTAGCCCAAGACAGTCAATATTCTATCTCAACAAACCTCGAGTTAGTTCATTAGGCGCTCTAAATACGAAAGATTGAGGGATAAGAATGAATCTTACTACAATTAGTGCTGCACATGGGGCCAGGCCACGTGACACTACTTGATTGCTCAACACCCTATAACCGCCTCTGATAATATGAGCAACGCTTTATCGTGCATTTGGGGCAGCTTGGGCAGTCAGCTCACCCAGTCCGGGCAAACTTCTAGAAGCATGTAACCCACTCCTGTAAATAGGGGTGGGATGCGCAACTTACGTTCACATATATTTCATACATTCTTTTGTACTTTATCACCTAAAAATACTTGTTAGAATATATTTTGTATATATGGGTAGAATATATTTTGTATATGTCTTGTAGGACATATATATAGGAACATAATGAGCCCAGAATGAGCCTAAACATAATCCTACAAGACATATACAAAATATATTCTACCCATATATACAAAATATATTCTAACAATACTTATTTAAGCATCAGAGGCTCTTCACTAGGAAACTCTTTGAAGTTTCTGCAGGTTCGCAGGTGATCTACCAACAAAAAAGCTCAAGGCGAGGTTAATTCCAGTCGATACAAAAAACGATACAAAATTTTTTGTGTACCAAGTTGATTTAGTATTCATGAGAGTTATATATATAAACAAAATTAAATATTAAATAATTAATAATTGTTTCAAGCATTATATCAACTTGTTTGGAAATCTATATCTATATAATAAGAATTACCATCTACTAAAAATGGTAGTCAAAATTTTTGAGAACATTTATTGCATATATTTTTTTAGAAACTTTTTAAATATATGCATTAATTGCTTCTATATACACATTTTGATATAAGATCAAATCATATATGATCAAAATATGGTTCCTTAAATAATTTTATTAATATCTGCAATAATTTCATTGATATCCAGTATAATAAATTACAAAATTGATTTTCATGATTCATGTTGATAATATTTTGGTCAAGATAAATATTACAACATATTTAAGTTCTAATAAAAAGAAAAAAGAAAGAAGAAAGCAAAAAAAAAAACGTTGATTAATAATGAAAAATAAATTATAATTTTAAATTTTTTCTGATTAATGTTGATTAAAGGAGATGAAAAATAGATGATAACCTATTGCTTTTTAGACTTAAACGGGCAGAGGTTGTAAAAATAACTCATCTAATATTTCTGTTTCGTGCATCGCACGAAATACGTACTAGTAATTTCTCAAACGGACATTTAAGTTCAAGTTCGGTTTGAGTAACTAATTAATGTGTGTTAAATTATAAAGATTTATGAATAAATTGGTTGTACAAAATGTTTTTATATAGAAGTAATGATGGAAACTTTTAGATAAGTCCATTTTACAAAATCCATTTAATAAACGAGTATTTTTTTTTTTAAAAAAAAAAGTGTTTTCAAACAAACACTATATGTCATTGAAAGAATTAAATGAATGAATAATATAAATCATATTTTAGAAATAAGCGAAAATGAAAGTTTATAAATCTCCAAGAGTTTGAAGCTATACACATACGTCTACATTTAATAAAATGTTACATTTTTATACATCATGAAAATAATATCGTAAGATAAAATAATTTAATATATAACATTTTATCGAACTTAATTATACTAAACGCAGCCTCACATTTGGACGCATGTTTATTTCACGAGCAACTAACCCATAAAAAAAAAATTAAAAAAAAAAATGTTATCACGAGCAACTAACCCACAAAATATATAATAAAAAAAATCTTATAGGGATGAATAGTAAAAGAAAGATAACCGCGAGACAAATTTTGCAGCCGATTATATGACTACCTTCGCTGCGAAAGGTTCAGTGGGATACCAATATTTTAGTGTGCCTCCCATTAGGGTTTGGTCGTGGTTACACCATCATGTGATTGGTGTGTTCTACTAGCGTAACGTGGGTGACTTAAACTTATAGCATTGGCCTCTCCTTTTGTACCAAACAAAAGAAAAGATTTATTATAAATAATCATTTCATAATCTATATTGTTTACTTGTTGGTTTGCTGCCAATAAATTACATTTACCCTTTTCTATGATTCTATCACGTCCATTTTATTTATGTAATTTATCATTATTGCTCTGATACGTTGATAATGATTTATCGTATAACAAGTGATAAAGTACGCTAAAATGCAGCATTTGATACGCATCAATTTTAATTGTTCGCTAAA